CAGGAGCTGTAATTACAGGTTCACATCATCTAGCCCAGCTTGTGAGGAAGTACACCTGTTCTACCATTGAGCTGGTTAGGACTCTACAGGTCCTTTCTTAGATTTTTTTTTTTTTTAATGTATTTAGCACAAGGTCTACAGGGTCTCACCATCTAGCTCAGATTCATAGTGATCCTCCTGTTTTAAGTCTCCTAAGTGCTGGGATTATAGGTGCGCACCGCCACACCCAGTCTCAATCACCCTCTCAGGGTGCCCAGGGGTGGGGCCAGCACAGCATGCCATGGATCGAACCCCAGTCCCTGTGTGTGTCTAAGTAGGCACTTTAATTCTCTGAGCTATATGGCCGGCCCTTCTTTGTTAGAATTTAATAGCCCTTTCTGAAGACACACTTTTTTTTCTTCTTTCTCCCTTCTCTTTCTCCTTCAGCTCTTCCTCCTCCTCTTCTTTCTCCTTTTACTGGAAACAGGGTCTTGACTCATTATGCTGTCCAGGCTGGCCTCAAACTCGCTGAGATCCCCTTGCCTCAGTCTCCCACATGCTGGAATTACAGGTATGCAACACCACATGGACTTTTTTTTTGAGATAGGGTCTCTATGCGGCTCAGGCAGGTCTTGAACTCAAGTGCAGTTCAAACTGGCATCCAACTGCCTGTGATCCTCCTGAGTCATCCTCCCAACTGAGAGAATTACAGGCGTGCACCAAACATCTATTTATTTATTATTTATTTAACATTTACTTGGTAGTTGCTGCTGCTTATTTAAAAACTGTCGATACTGGGCTGTTGATGTAGCTCAGTGGTACAGAGCCTTCCTGGAAAGTGAGAGGCCCTGAATTTGATTCCCAGTACCAACCTCCTCCCCCACAAAAAACTCTCTAAAACCTCCAACCTGTCGACAATACCTAAAGCACTTTAAAAAAGAAATCCAGGGACAACGCACAATTTTAAATGCAGACTGTGTTTTAACTGAGACATCTGCTGCGACCGAACCGTCCCTGGGCAGGGGCAGGAGGTAGTAGTAACTACAGGCAGGTGGCGTTGCTGGGCGGGGCCCGCTCAGGCTCTGGCTGCAGCTCCCGCAGAGGGATAGCAGGTCCCGGGGTCTGGGTACATTTCAGTGCACACGTGTGTGACTGCTGCAGCTCCAACCCCCGAAGTCCCCGTTTTTTCCTAAGCGAAAGCCATCCCTACGCCTCAACTACAAGCTTTATCACGCACCTTTGTCCTAATGCCCTCCACCAGCCAGCGAAATAGGCGAGCAGCTGCAGTTGAGAAAACTGAGACTTGGAGCGGCACTTAGGACACGTCGTCAAGGGCATCCGCGGGTCTCTCCGACCCGAAACCTCTCCGGAGGTTCCTTCCACAGGTGGCCCCTCTCCCAGCCACCTCCTGCTGACCTGCCCAGGCTTTGCAGCGGGGGTGGGTGGCACAGTCGGTGGAGCCAGGGAAGGGGGCGAGTCCCCAGCCCAAGCCTCGCTGCGGCCGCTGAGACCCCCGTGCTGTCTCCTGCGCCACCGTGGCGCTTACAGGGTTGAGCCAGCAGTGTGGTCCGCGTTGGGCTCCTCGGCTCAGGGGGCGCGAGCGGAGCGCCCGTGGCTGCATAGTTCTCCGCTGCTAGGCGCCAGCCTGGGGTCTGCGCAGGGTCCCGGAAGCCTGGAGGCGGGACTCGGGGGCGGGGCCTCTGGGACGAGAAGGGTAGGGTCTGGGGGCTCGGGGCGGGGCTGGGCGGGGCCTAGAGGGCGGGGCGGGCCCGGGCTGGGCGGGGCCTGGCGGCGTCCGGGGCTCGTGGGGCCACCGCACCTCAGTCCACCTCGCGCGCCCTAGCTGCAAGCATGACGGACGCGTTGCCGCCTGCGGCTCGCCAGCCGCTAGAGAAGGAAGGCGAAGACTACTTTCGGAAGGTGGGCGGCTTCGGGCCCCGGACCACCGCCCCACCCCCGGGCTGAGGAAGGGGCTGTGGGAGCGTTGCCGGGTGGGCGCGGCCCGGAGGGGGAGGGGGCACGCGGGTCTGGTAGGGCCGGGCGGAGACCGAAGAGGAGCGAGCAGGGGAGGCGGCGGCGGCGTCCGGGCGCGCGGAGCAGGTGGCGCAGCGCGGCCCGCGTGCAGGTGCCAGCCCGGAGGCGGGGCCCGCGGGAGGGCTCCGGTCGCCCAGGTGGCGACCCTGCGTGCCTGAGGAACCTGCGCCGGCAGCCCCCGCGCCCGCGCCCTTGCGGCGCCTTGCTACCTGAGCTCAACTTGCGCCCGAGCGAACACTCCAGGCGGGCTGGCGGTCGTCTTTTTCCTCCAAAGTGTTTTTAGCGTCCGTTTCTGCGACTTCTCAGGGCCCAGAGGCGGCAGCTGTAGAAAGTGACCTCGGGCGACGCCCCCTCGCTCATCGCGGGTCGCCCTCGCTCTTTCTCACTTTATGCTGGTAGAACGGATTTATCAGGTGGCGTGGGAGCCTGGGCGGGCGACTGTGTGCTCCGAGCCCGGCTCTTCTCCCTGCCTTCAGTTCGAGAGTTAACAGTCTAGTAGTAGATCAGTCCCTCCAAAGTGACCCGAGAGCGGAGCGTGTTGGAGCACTCCTGTAATCCTGGCACTCTGAAAGGCTGAAGCTGGACGATCTTAAGGTCGAGCCCAGCCTAAGGCAATTTAGCGATTTGGCTAGACCCAGTTTCAAAAAAAAAAAAAAAAAAAGGCTAGGAGCCTGGGGATGCAGCCTAATGGGAAGGTCTTGGGTTCAATCCCGTGTACCGACCCCTTCCTCCAGTCCTACCACGAAGCAGTGTGATCCCGGGTCAGCTGGGGTGTTGGGAGGCCCACAGATGGGCTTTTGAGCTAGGAGTCATGGTGACACCCATCACACCTTCCTTGCAGGTCTTGGGAAGTTTAAAAATAGCCTTTGGCCAAGGAAAACTAGGTGGATTGAGATTGTCCTTGCTTTTTTTTTTTTTTTTTTTGGCAAATAGGACGCAAGGCACAGTGCCTAATTATAAATAGGGAAGTGAAACTGTCCTACAGGACAATCCTTGGTGTTCCAGAGCCTAGCCATCCAGTTCCTAAGTGGCCTTGACATCTTTCTCCTCCCATTGTGACCCTGACCACTTTGGGTTTTTGCTCACTGGTGAGGGGTAGTGAGGGTAGGACAGGAAGGGAATCTGGGAATTTGTATTCCATCTGGGAGATGAATGGAAAAGCTGCCTTTTTTTTTTTTTTTTGGTAAGTTGCTTTTAGCTTTAAAAGAAAAAAAAGCTGTTTTGAAGTATATTTAAGTGCAAAGATGTCATCATAGAATTACAGTATTATAACTTCTAATTATGTGTGGTTGGTGGAACAGAGGATCACAGGACATAAAATTGGAGAAAGAGGCTTGGCCTGGGAATCCCTAGATGTCGGTCTTAGGGCCCCAGGGCCTGACTGCCACCCCCACAAAATTGCCTGGTGGCCTATAACAAGTTGCTGTCTCTTTCAGGGGACTTGAGTTTTCTCTCTGGATTATTTGTCCAATGAACAGATGGCTTTATGGGCCTGTGGCAGCACTTGTGGGAATTGGCCAAGGGTGGGTGAGGAAGGATGGAGCAATTCCTTGGGGAGAGATGGGCCCAAGCTTTCTGGAATAAGTTTTCCTGTGAGACCATGCCAGGGCTTAAGTCTCAGGGGATGATTTGGGGGAGGGGCAGTGGATACCAAGGAAGCCAAGAAAGGATGCACAGTTGGGTGTTCTTTAGATGCAGTTTCTCTGGTGGTGGATGAGTACAAAGTAAGATGAATCACTACTGTACAATTAGAAGCATCTATTTAGAAAATGAGACCTTGTGCTGATCATTGTGCTATGGCCGAGTTGTCATACCAGTCCAAAGGGTGTTCTTTGTGTGGAGAAAAGAAAAGGTGTTGACATTTCTTTCCTGATTTGTGACCGGAGCCAATTTGACCTAAGACAAAATGCTCACTGAGTGACAGGTGGGTGTATTTCGGTGAAGAAGGGAAGGGTGGGCTCTTTTCAGGTAGAGGGAACAGCTTGGGCAAAAGCAGGGAATTGTGAATGCTTGTGGGGGACCCTCCTGGGGGTGTGGAGGTGGCCTAAGTGGGAAGTCCTTCAGTGTCATTCATCCTAAGGAAGCAGGGAATTTTAGGAATCATCAAAGTGGTTAAAGCAGTGCAAGACATTTGAGATATTATCAGAGCGAGCCCATTTTGCCAAGGTGTCAGTGGGTTAGGTGGAAGTGAGGGAAAGTGTAGCCAGGCAGGGTGGAGTTGGGGGGGCTGTAGGCCCCAGTAATCTCCATTGCCTTTGTCCCTTCTACTCTGATACAGGCTCATGATGTCCAGCAGTTTGTGTTTTCTCTGCACAGCCTTGGCCACCCATCCTTCTCACCACCTTATACCCTAACTCAGACAAGGGGCCCAGCCTGAAGATAGGGATACCAGTGTGGAGGTTGGAAGGATGGGACCCTGCAAGGATGAGAATAACTGGTGGGGTAGGATATGGTGGAAAGAGCACTGCCAGCAGGAACCCAAAGGTCTGCTCTGGGGGTCAGGTCATACCTCGGTGAGATGGTGTAAACCAGGAGGCTGGTGTGGAGGAGCAGGTGGATTTGAGGTTGCCTGGGGGATATGCACGTCGTGATCCCAGTGCACTCTGAACCTGGCAGCCCGGAGAGCTTCTTGCTGGAAAGGCAGAACTTCTTGCTAGGGAGCACCAGTGTGAGCTCAGGCTGGGGTATCCAGTGAGGGAACCTGGCACTGAAGCAACCAATAATAGGCCCCCCTAGAGGATAGGTAGCAAGGTGAGGTGCAAGCCTGGAGAGGGGTTGAGAAAGGCTGAAAGGAAGTCTCTTCAGTGGATGGGTGAGGTTGACAAATAGAAAAGCTAGGGGGAGTTTTGGATTTAGTCCTCTAGGGAGCTGTTAGAAAACTAGGATTGGGGACTGGGAACAAATTGACATGGCAGAGAAGATGGTTGCTGGAGTGGGGGGTGGTGGTAGAGAGAGACAAGGTCAGTTTATTAGGCATTTATTGTATGTATTTGTGTGGTGCTGGGTACGGGACTCAGGGTCTTGCACACACCAAGCGCACTGCTGAGCTGTTACATCCACAGCCTCACAGGGAATGAGAAAGTTAGAGCCTGTTTTGGATTGTTTTTTTTTTTTTTTTTTTTTAAACATTTTTTTTAAGTTTATTTTTTTTTAAGTTTATTTATTTATTTAGAGTGTGTGTGTGTGTGTGTGGCCAGCTCAGCCCACCAGGGGGCGGGGCTGGCTGGCATGTGGTGCTGGGGGATTGAACCGTGGTCCCTGCGCTTTGCTAAGCTTGTTCTAAGTAGGTGCTTTAGACCACTGAGCCATCTCCCCAGCCCCCAAAATGGAATAAGGATTTTTTTTTTTTTTCTCCTCGAATGCCTTCAGGGCACTTTTGGCTGGCTGGAGGGTTGTGGGGATCGAACTAGAATAAGCTGAGGCTGACAGCTTTGTGGAAGCAGCCACTTAAAGAACTGAGCTAGAGCCAGGCCCCCTTTGGATTGTTTTTGAAGTGCTAGGATTCAGGCTGGTCCTTTGCATGCTGTGCAAACTCACTTTCTACCTCAGCCCCTAGAGCCTTTTTTAAAGCTGAAAGTGAAGAAGTTGAGTGGGTGGATTCTTAGAGATTCAGGGGAAGTGATTAGAAGGAGCTGCTGGAGGAGGCAGCCAGGCGCAGTGAGTGGGGATCCCCAACCCTGGCAGTACAGTCAGGGTGTCATAAATCTGCCCTCATGTCAGGTTCTCCATCCTGTGGTTGGACTTCAGAATTTTGTACACCATGATCAGATTATCTCTATTAAAAGCCAGGCTTCTCTTTCATTGTCTTCTCTTTGTTATATCTTCTGCCCCTCTTCTCTTTAAAATGCCATTCTCCATTCATTCAAAAAGCATTATGGAGGGACAGCTCTGTGTCTGACCTCATTGCATGCTGGGATACATTGGCTTTTTTTTTTTTTTCCTTCCTTTTTTGAGTGCTGAGGATTGAACTCAGACCCTTGAGCATGCTAGGCAAGTGCTCTGCCACTGAGCTATTCCCCCAGTCACTGAACCCCAAACTCCCGCAGTTCAAGGGAGAGGCTGAGTTCCCTGGGGCGCTGAGCTGGGCTGGGAGCCCATGCTTTGTGCTGACAAACTTGGGCCATGGTTATGCTCCAAAAGGAGCTTCCTTGCTTGGGCTCAGAGCAGGAAGTAGGCTTCAGCTATGTTTGTGTGGCTCACCTATAAATGAAGCCCAATTGCTGAAAAGTCCCTGTTGGTGACCGAACCTGAACCGTATGTGTCAGGATAATCAGTGGTGGGGAGGGCAGGTCTCTTCAGTCAGGGTTTTATTGGGGTTGCAGAGGATTTGACTGAACAGAGATAAAGGACACCAGTCAGCCCCAGGTGAAGCATGGACTCAGCCCTGTCTTCTTGGTCTGGGTCTTGCTAAATCACCCCGAGGCTGGGTTTGAACTTAACCTCTCGCCTCAGTCTCAACGGTATATTTCCTTTTTATTTTTTAAAAATTTATATATAAATTTAAAATATTTATGTTTTTTGGAAACAGGGCCTTACTGTGTAGCTGGCCTTAACTCACTATGTAGCCCAGGCTGGCCTCGAACTCAGTGCGCCTCCTGCCTCAGTTTTCCCAGTGCTAGGATTACAGGCATGCGCCACTGCACCTGGCTTCAACAGTATATTTCTGTCAGATTGCTATACATTTTTTTCTTAAAAGAATGAGCAGTAGAAATGTACCCACCCACTCCAATTTTTATACATTTTCTACTGAAAGACTTAAATGTGTTGTGTAGTTAAATGCAGAGTCCTGTAGGGAATCCTTTCCAGGAGGCTGCATCATAATAGCAGATCCCTTCTCTGGGGCCCAGTCCTAAAACTTCTTAGGAAAACCTGTTCTTGGCCAGGAG